AAAACTCTGAAGATGCATGAAGCTCACAAACTTTCACTAATCCAGTGATTATTCCTCCTCAGAAACACTCATCGTTGCAGCCTTGTGACAGGCATCTCTTTTCTTCTTACTGTACTGTGCTTGATTTACTGAACATAATGCCCTTCACTCTCAGACAACCTCTTGCCAAGCTTTCCAAACGGTGTAAATACACATTTGTGTACTGAGCAGACACAACAACGCAGGGCACCCCAGATACTGCGTACGGTTCAGCAGTGTCCTCTCACAGATGTACGTTAGTTATGGATTTGTGTATAGTACTATACTTGACCTTTAGAGATGAAACCGGAAACCATCTCGGTTCAAGATATTCGGCTAAGTATCAAGCTTGATGGCTGTCTGAAATGTCATAAGCACACTGTTATTATCCCCCCTCCCATCTTCACTTCTCTGGGGCATTTTAAGGAGAGATTGACCCCAGATTGCCTTGACATTTCATCTCTTGTGTATTTGTGCTGAATGGCAAACACACAGTTTGACCTGATCTGACCCGACCATGATGTTCAAACTAAGACCAAAGACAAGTGCACTCAAATCTTCTCGCGGCACAAGAACTACAAATAGTCACGACTTGGTAAAGTCCTCAACAGCTGTTCTCTAACATGCAGTACAGCTGTTATCTACTGGGAAGAGACGGAAATCTACAAAACTGTGCCAGTCTTAAAGGAATAGTTCACCCAGAAATGAAAAATCTGTCCATATTTACTCACCCTCATGTCATGCCGAACCTGTATGAGTTTTGTTCATCTTAAAAACACATATGAGGATATTTTTAAGGAAACCTGAGAGATTTCTGTAACCGTGCAACCAAAACTTTGATGCTTCAAAAAGTTTATAAAGACGTGTTAAAGACCTGTGAAGAGACATGATCGCTTTAAATGATGAACAGATTTAAAGGAATAGTTCACCCAAAAATTTGAATTTGTTGAAAATGTGCTCACCCTCAGTCCGTTTCTTCATCAGGTTTGTAGAAATGTAGCATTGCATCAGTGTCTCAGCAGTGGATGCTCTGCAGTGAATGGGTGCCGTCAGAATGAGAGTCCAAACAGCTGATAAAAACATCACAATAATCCACAAGTAATCCACAACACTCAGGTCCATCAGTTAACATCTGGAGAACATCTTTCTTTAATTTACGCTTGTATTCACATAATAAAAAATTTATATACACACAAAAATGGAGCTCATCAAATATGGTAAAGGAAAGCTTAAATGTTCTTTGACGCATGAGAACAAACCTCATTGGCCAACAAACCACTTTTACGATATGAACTTTTGAAAGCATCAAAGTTTTGGTTCGATAGACTTTAAATGGAGGGACCGAAATCTCTCAGGTTTCATTAAAAATGTCCTCATCTGTGTTTTGAATATGAACAGGGTCAGTGAACGATGACAGAATGTTCATTTTTTTTAGTAAGCTGTCCCTTTAAGAGGTATGTAAGCCGCCCATAACCTATGACATGCTAACATAAATGTTCAGCTGAATTCAGCCAGCAGTGTATTTTTGGTCCAGGTAATGGTTTTGGCAGAAACAACAGCGTTTTGATTTATTATAGCTGTCTCTGAATACTAACCTGGTTCTATTAGTAATGAGCCCCTTTGCTGTGTCCCGTGCAGAAGTATCCAGAGAAGCTGTACTTCGAAGGTCTGGCAGAGCAGGTCAACCCTCCCATTCAGCTGCACTTACAATACCTGCCCATCTACTTCGGTAACGTGTGTCTGCGCTTCCTTCCTGTGTTCGACATCGTCATCCACCGCTTCCTGGAGCTGCTGCCTGTGTCCAAGTCTCTGGAGACGCTGCTCGATCACCTGGGGGGGCTCTACAAGTTCCATGGTGAGAGTCATGACAGGCACTGGGAATTAAAAGTGTTATTGTTTATATATTGAAATAGTTAAACTGAAATCAAACTTTTTACTGTTATCCTAAAACTGTGTACGTGCAGATCGTCCGGTGACATACCTGTACAACACGCTGCACTATTACGAGAGACACCTGCGAGATCGCACCAACCTGAAGAGGAAGCTGGTGCACGCTATCATGAGCTCGCTCAAGGACAACCGCACACCTGGCTGGTGTCTCAGCGAGACGTACCTGAAGTGTGCCATGAACCCCCGGGACGACAACGTCTGGATCCCCGACGACACGTACTACTGCAAACTCATCGGGCGGCTTGTGGATAATATCCTTAACTGAGCAACCACAGCCAGTGCTGTCATATCAGGGCATGGTGACTGCGTGAGAAGCACGAGGTGGCCTTAAACGAGAAAGAAAACTATGCACTGGCGAGTATATGAAACATAAAACTGCTATTTATAGATTCTAACAGTGCATGGTTATGAGAACACAATCGCAAAGGCTACAATTGAGTTATATGTGACCCTGGACCACAAAACCAGTCATAAGGGTAAATTTTTCGAAATTGAGATTCATGCATCATCTGAAAGTTGAATAAATAAGCTTTCATTGGTGTATGGTTTGTTAGGATCGGACAATATTTGGCTGAGATACAACTATTTGAAAATCTGGAATCTGAGGGTGCAAAAAAAATCTAAATATTGAGAAAATCATCTTTAAAGTTGTTCAAATGAAGTTCTTAGCAATGCATATTACTAATCAAAAAATAAGTTTTAATATATTTATGGTAGGAAATTTACAAAATATCTTCATGGAACATGATCTTTACTTAATATCCTAATGATTTTTGGCATAAAAGAGAAATGTATAATTGTGACCCATACAATGTATTGTTGGCTATTGCTACAAATATCCCCCAGCGACTTAACACTGCTTTTGTGCTGCAGGCTCACATATATATATAGAGAGAGAGAGAGAGAGAGAGAGAGAGAGTCTGATGCATGTTCATAGTGAAGCGTTGCACTGTTATTTTACACGTGAGCAGCTCATGATCTGTCAGCGTCTTTTTTTTCAGTGTCTCAGAGCGGCTCGGTTCACAGTAAACGCTGCTCCAAACAAACCCCATCTCTGCAAGTGCTGTGAGTTTGAGTCGCTCATAACATGCATTTGAAAATCCAACACACCAATGATCTTCACAAAATTGCTTATAAATTTGTTGTCAACAAAATAGAAGATTTATGGTCTCCCTATGGTTTTCTGCATAAATATAAAAAGCAAAGACGACCCTTAATATTAGTATTGTAATTCCTAAGTCCTCCAGAGTTTAGCTCCAAATCCGATCAAACACCCCTGAACCAGCTAATCGAGGATTACTGGGAAATTACAGGCAGCCAGGTGAGTTTGATCAGGGCTGGACCTGAGCTCCTGGTTTAAAGTGTCTTGCAAAAGTGTCAGATGTTGAATGTGGCAAGAGAAGAGTCAAGAAACCCTTCCTTAACCGGTGCTACCCATGGCAGGTAAATCTCCAGGGCCGTTCCCCAACTGTGACTGGAGGTTTAACGAGTTTCCAAACCCGGCCGCTCACGCGCTACACGTCACCTGTGTGGAGCTCATGGCTCTGGCCGTGCCGGGGAAAGACGTGGGCAACGCTCTGCTCAATGTCGTGCTCAAGAGGTCAGAGTTCATCCCTGCCACCTGTGATCCTGTGTCAGGAGATGCACAGACACACACGTTCATATGTTACAGTGGAGAGTTGAATGATGAATGTGTGTTTTGCAGCCAGCCGCTGGTTCCTCGGGAGAACATCACAGCGTGGATGAACGCTATCGGCCTGGTCATCACTGCCCTGCCTGTACGCACACCGTCTTCATTCACTTTTCTACTCTTTCTCTCATACAACAGAGTTAGCGCTGACTTGTGATGAATGATGCTCATTGGACCGCTAGGGTTACATGCAGCACCTGAGACAGTAATTGTCATGTTCACAGCAGTGTTATTTTAGTATCATTGAAATACTGTTTCAGTTTTTATTAATACTTTAAATTAGTTTTGTTAATGTTTTAGCGGTTACACTTTATTTTGATGGTCCACTTTAGACATTCTACTAACTATTAGTAACTTTGCAACTACATGTCTACTAAGAGTAGACTTAGGTTAGGTTTAGGGTTAGTAGAATAAGTTGACATATACTTGCAAAGACTCTTATAGTCAGTATGTTGAATGTTGTGGTTCTCAATCAGTGAATACCGCACATTTATGCACATACTTTATAGTGATGTGAGATGCATATTTGATCTCCCTCATATCTGTTTGAAGTAGTGAAGCAGATCCATTTCAAAATAAGAGTATTTTGGGGTGGTTTATAATTAAAAGTCCCTCATTATGCATAGAATCTTTCTTTTCTGGTGATCAATAAAGTGTATCTGGCATTTAATTTCACCCCATCACAGGAAGGAAAGACAATAAACCTTTTTTAACACATTGGATTTTACTAGTTTCAGCACAATATCTGTAATCTATTTGTAAATGCTTTATTATTGTATCAGCAAAATCTAATATCGCTTGACCGCTATTTTGTATGTGGTATATTGGTACATACACCGATTTCAGTACATATTGAATAGAACCTGTCTTGTGTATTTTAGATTTGAAGTTACCCTGTTTTGCTGATAAACCGTATATGTCCTTGTTGAATTTGTGCCACAGCCCATTTAATAAATTGAAAGAATCTGAGATGCATGATTTCAGATTGTATGGGTTTGTTCTGAATGGACAAACAGTATGAATTTTATTAGTGCAGATCTTAAAAAGCCTTAACTTAGATGCCCTGATAAATAGATAAATGCTGTGGTTGAGTTGTGAGTTGCTGCTAAGTGTGTGTGTGAGTGTGTGTGTGCGTGTGAGTGTGTGTGTGTGTTGAGTGTGTGTGTGTGTGTGTGGTGAGTGTGTGTGTGTGTGTGTTGAGAGCGTGTGTGTGAGAGCGTGTGTGTGTGTGCGCGTGTGTGTGTGAGGATGAGTCAGTGATGAGCTGAGATCACTTCACCTGCTGCCTCCACACACTCCTCATCCCACCACAGAACAACACATCACATCCACAGAGACGCCATCAGTGCTCTCAGATTGAGCATGAACACACTTCTGTGCTCGAGTCTGTTTTTCATCTGTGTGTCAGCTATGACAGAATGCTGCCTGTGCACAAACTGACTCCTCGTTAGTTGTTCGTAACGCTTTTTACTTGAGTATGATGGTCAGTTTTGTACCAGAGTGAGGCTGCATGGCTTGAAAAAGATGGATTTCGTAACATCATCTGAAAAGTTTTTTCAGAAGCAGAGCAGGTATTGATAAAAGATGATAAAGACAAATTTATCATTGTAATAACATGCTGTTTAGTCGATCACTGTAGGAGCTGTGCATTATTAAAGTAAATCAATTCAGATTTTCTGTTGGCTTTAATGGTAGTCCATGTAATTTACATCATTTGGGGTCGGTACTAAGTTTCTGCTCACCAAGGCTGCATTTATTTGTTTAAAAATACAGTAGAAACAGTAATATTGTGAAATATTATTAGAATGTAAACCAGCTGTTTTCTATGTGAATGTGTTAAACTGTAATTTATTCCTGTGATCAAGAACCCTGGTTAAATGACTCTACCCGCTCTCTCAGACGTACCTGCAGAGTAGCTGAGAGAAAGTGGAAAAAGGATTAACTAAATATCTCGTTCGAAATGATGCAGGACGCATTATGTAAATACCAGAGAGTAGTTAAATCTGCTAAAACTTAAATTTTTTCCCGACCTTGTAGCCAGTAACAGCCAGAGGCCTCAGGTTCTTGTTAATGTTGTTAACTCTCTTGTTAACCCACGTGATTCAGATTGTATTGTGCCATCTTTAATATTATGTGAAAACTTTCTGAAATATTTTGTGGACAAAATTGCATGGTCTTGCTAGTTTTCCACCCATCACGGTTATCAGTGACTCCCTTGATTTCACTTTTTGCCCAGCTGTCTTTCAGCAGTTTGAGCCGTTTACATTCTCCTATCTTTCTGACATAGTTAAACAGCTACGTCCTGCAAACTGCCCCCTTGACCGTATTCCTGCACGCTTAGCTAAAGATGTCTTTGACACTGTTGGGCCAAGCGTTGTATCTTTGGTTAATACATCTCTCAGCTCAGGATGTGTACCAGCTGTTTTTAAACATGCCATCGTGCAACCTCTTCTAAAAAAGAATAACTTGGATCCTTCAATTTTGTCTTAAGACCTATATCTAAACTCCCCTTTTTATCAAAAGTTTTGGAGAGAGTTGTTTTTAATCAACTTCAGTCATTTCTTGATGAATGTAGTATTTATGAAAAATTTCAGTCTGGTTTTAAGCCCTGTCACAGTACAGAAACTACTCTTTTAAAAGTTTCTAATGATCTTCTTTTAACTGTGGACTGCTGTTTTAGTCCTTTTGGATTTGACTGCGGCCTTTGATACGGTCAACCACTAAATTCTTTTATCTAGACTTGAACAGTGTGTTGGCATTAAGGGCATAGCCCTTACATGGTTTCAGTCGTATTTGACAGACAGAAGTTTTTCTGTTCACCTTGGTGAATTTTCTTCATCTGCTGCCCCTCTTTTTTGTGGCGTCCCCCAAGGGTCAATATTGGGCCCTATGTTGTTTTCTTTGTATATGCTGCCCTTGGGGTATATTTTTTAGAAAGCACAATATCTCCTTCCACTGTAATGCAAATGATGTACACATTTATTTGCCTGTCAAAACAAATGACAAAACCTAATTTCTGTCATTACTAAATTGCCTGAGAGATTTAAAAACATGGCAGGATCAGAACTTTCTTTGTCTTAATGAAAATAAGACTGAGATTGTTGTGTTTGGTCTTCCTGGGGATTTAAGTGCTTGTGTGATTCAGATTGTATTGTGCCATCTTTAATATTATGTGAAAACTTTCTGAAATATTTTGTGGACAAAATTGCATGGTCTTGCTAGTTTTCCACCCATCACGGTTATCAGTGACTCCCTTGATTTCACTTTTTGCCCAGCTGTCTTTCAGCAGTTTGAGCCGTTTACATTCTCCTATCTTTCTGACATAGTTAAACAGCTACGTCCTGCAAACTGCCCCCTTGACCGTATTCCTGCACGCTTAGCTAAAGATGTCTTTGACACTGTTGGGCCAAGCGTTGTATCTTTGGTTAATACATCTCTCAGCTCAGGATGTGTACCAGCTGTTTTTAAACATGCCATCGTGCAACCTCTTCTAAAAAAGAATAACTTGGATCCTTCAATTTTGTCTTAAGACCTATATCTAAACTCCCCTTTTTATCAAAAGTTTTGGAGAGAGTTGTTTTTAATCAACTTCAGTCATTTCTTGATGAATGTAGTATTTATGAAAAATTTCAGTCTGGTTTTAAGCCCTGTCACAGTACAGAAACTACTCTTTTAAAAGTTTCTAATGATCTTCTTTTAACTGTGGACTGCTGTTTTAGTCCTTTTGGATTTGACTGCGGCCTTTGATACGGTCAACCACTAAATTCTTTTATCTAGACTTGAACAGTGTGTTGGCATTAAGGGCATAGCCCTTACATGGTTTCAGTCGTATTTGACAGACAGAAGTTTTTCTGTTCACCTTGGTGAATTTTCTTCATCTGCTGCCCCTCTTTTTTGTGGCGTCCCCCAAGGGTCAATATTGGGCCCTATGTTGTTTTCTTTGTATATGCTGCCCTTGGGGTATATTTTTTAGAAAGCACAATATCTCCTTCCACTGTAATGCAAATGATGTACACATTTATTTGCCTGTCAAAACAAATGACAAAACCTAATTTCTGTCATTACTAAATTGCCTGAGAGATTTAAAAACATGGCAGGATCAGAACTTTCTTTGTCTTAATGAAAATAAGACTGAGATTGTTGTGTTTGGTCTTCCTGGGGATTTAAGTGCTTGTGTAGATGCACTTGGTAGTTTAGGTTTGTATGTTCGTCCATTTACCAAGAATCTAGGTGTGATTTTTGACAGTGCTTTTAAATTTGAAAAACAGATTAGTTCTGTTGTAAAAGCCCGTTTCTTTCAACTGAGACTGTTGGCTAAAGTCAAGCCGTACCTGCCACATAAGGAGATTGAAAGTGTAATTCATGCTTTTATAACATCTAGACTAGACTACTGTAACTCTTTATATGTTGGTTTGGATCAGTCATCTCTTCAATGCTTACAGTTAGTCCAAAATGCAGCAGCTCGGCTTCTAACTGGGACTAAAAAGTATGAGCACATTACCCCTGTCTTAGCTTCACTACACTGGCTTCCTGTCCGCTTCAGGATTGATTTCAAGATTTTATTGTTTGTTTTTAAGATTTTAAATGGGTTGGCGCCTGCTTATTTATCAGAGCTTTTACATGTCTACACTCCTGTTAAAGCGCTGAGGTCGTCCAGTCAGGTGCTCCTCGATGTTCCGAGAGCCAGGTTAAAAAATAAAGGTGACCGAGCTTTTTCAGTGGTGGCACCTAATTTGTGGAATAGTTTACCTGTACACATAAGAACTGCTCAGACTGTTGGAATTTTTAAGTCAATATTTAAGACACACCTGGATTCCTTGGCTTTTATTTCGAGCTGAGCTGAGACATTGTGATGTTTTTTTTTTTACTGTATTTGTCTTGTTTGTGTGAGTTTTTCCGGACATTAAGCAGTTTGATCAACCATGGTTGTTTTTAAATGTGCTATATAAATAAAATTGAATTGAACTGAATTGAAACAAAGCTGTATTTTCAGCATCATTACTGCAGTCTTCAGTGTCACATGATCTTCAGAAATCAGTATAATATGCTGATTTTCTGCTCAAGAAACATTTCTGATTATTATCAATGTTGAAAACAGTCGTGCTGCTTGTGACACGTTTTATTTTTCAGGATTCACAGATGAATAGAAAGTTCGAAAGAACAGCATTTATTTGAAATGGAATCTTTCGTAACAATATAAATGTCTTTACTGTCACTTTTATGCATAATAAAAGTATTAATTTCTTTTAAAAAAACAATCATACTGAGTCCAAACATCTGAGCGGTGGTGTGTGTGTTGTGTTGTGCCTCGTGCAGCAGTCACATGCTCTGTTTGTTTTGATGTGTCTGTGCTGACAGCACTGTGACGTCTGGGATCATGGCCATGCACACGCTGATCATTCAGTGACAGGCGGCTCCTGCAGGAGCTGTGATAGGACACGGTTCACAGCGTCTGACACACTCCATCTGCAGCGACGGGAATATCAGCACACTCCCCATCTGATGAAACGCCTAAACCTCTGAATGCTGGCGTGTGTGGCTCACTCCCGCAGCCGCTGCATCCACAGCCTGTCCACTCGTGTGAATGTGACGCCACTTGAACACTGTCATTTATTTGCACTTATTCGACTCATTCTCATTCGAGTTACAGTGTTGAACATTCAACCGAGAGAAAGCATTTGAGAGTGACACACACTTCAGCTGTGAGCAGATTCACGAAGCTCCAGTCCTGACATGATCAATAACAGAAGGTCATTGGGTTTCAACCAATGCAAAAAATGTCATGAAAATGATGTTCTGATTGGATGAGCTCAGGGCAGATCGATCGTGATGGTGATGTCATCCGCTGTGAACCGATCTTCGTTAAACACATTCATTGTGACTCAGATGTGTTCAGAGCTGTAGTAGAACACTCACACATGGACACCGCTGCAGATTCATTCTCTATTCATGCAGAAATTGCTACATTTCTTCCTCCTTAAACAGCCTGCCGTTAGTATTGTGTAGACTGAATACAGATTTATTGATTGATCAGTGGTGTCTTCATCTTGGTGTTGCAGTGATTTTAACCATGGCTTTCACGTGATTTGTGTGTGTGTGTGTGTGAGGTTCCTCTCAGAGGTGCTGAAGCCCATCGTGAAGACGGAGTTCCAGCTGCTGTACGTGTATCACCTGGTGGGGCCGTTTCTGCAGCGCTTCCAGCAGGAGAGGACCAGATGCATGCTGGAGGTAGAGCCACACACACACACACCACACACTCACTCACACAAACATACCTGCCCATTTCACAGTCACACTCACCTTGACACAAGCCTCTGAACATGCTGCACATAAGCAGCGGACGGAGAAGCAGCTCACACACACACACACACACACACACACACACACGTTTAGAGAGCGCTTCAGCCGAGGCGAGTAGTACACGCTGAGCTCCTCTGGGGCTGTTTGAAGTAGTCCAGCTAATAGAGGTGCTGAAGCCCATCGTGAAGACGGAGTTCCAGCTGCTGTACGTGTATCACCTGGTGGGGCCGTTTCTGCAGCGCTTCCAGCAGGAGAGGACCAGATGCATGCTGGAGGTAGAGCCACACACACACACACCACACACTCACTCACACAAACATACCTGCCCATTTCACAGTCACACTCACCTTGACACAAGCCTCTGAACATGCTGCACATAAGCAGCGGACGGAGAAGCAGCTCACACACACACACACACACACACACACACACACGTTTAGAGAGCGCTTCAGCCGAGGCGAGTAGTACACGCTGAGCTCCTCTGGGGCTGTTTGAAGTAGTCCAGCTAATGAAAGTGCTCTTTACACACCGAGCACACTGCACTTTTACCCACAAATCCTCAAGCTTCTTATGCTCTCTCTCCTTTACTGAACACTCCCATCTCATCCAGTTGAGCTGCCAGCGCTTACACCATCCTCATCAAACGTGTTAGTACCAAAAATTAACCAATACCAGTTACTCCAGTGAAGACCCAAACTCATGAATATCACTCTGATCGTGCTTACGCTCTTCTACCACACACGCTATAACCAGTTACCAAATGTAATTAATATTAGAGACGTATATAGCTGAGATGGACCGCTGGTATTACTATGAATGATAAAAGAAAAGTCAACAGCTGGTCTTTTATCTTGCGCTCGGCCTTCACTCTGCGCTGCACATGTGCATTGACTGGACCAATCCGAAATATATAGTCTTTTAGCATTACTTGAGGGTAAGAAATAAGGGTGTGCAGTATTGACGAAGATGTATTTACATTTAGATGTATTTATACAGACTCAAACATACATGAATGCATTTACACTGCTATGACAATTACATAAATAATGCTATGAGTTTAATATAGAAAAAAAACACATTGAATACAAAAATATGAAATCATGGGAAAAATAAAATCATGTTTTACATTTACTTTTAGTCATTTAGCAGATGCTTTTATCCAAAGCGACTTACAAATGAGGACAATAAAAGCAGTCAAAACTAACAAAAGAGCAATAATATATAAGTGCAAATGACAAGTCTCGGTTAGCCTAACGCAGTACACGTAGCAAGGTATTATATATATATATATTATACATACACACACACAAACACAAAGAAAAACAAGTAGATAGAATAGAAAAAATAGAAAGCTAGTGTTAGTGTTTTTGTTTTTTTAAATAAAAAAAGATAAAGTAGAATTAAAATAGAATAGAAAGTGTTAGAGTTAGAGGGTCAAATAAAGATGGAACAGATGTGTTTTTAGTCGTTTCTTGAAGATGGGTAAGGACTCAGCTGCT